ACTTTCTGCTGATGATGCTGTGCTTTTGGGGAATTCTAAAGAAAAGTTGCAAAGCTTAGTGGACGAGTTTGGGAGGGTGTGTAAAGGTGGAAAGTTGAAAGTGAACATGGATAAGAGTAAGGTGATGAGGGTATCAAACAATTTAGATAAAGAAAAATTGGATATCACATTAGAGGGAGTAGGGAAGAAGTGAATGTTTTCAGATATTTGGGAGTTGACTTGTCAGCAGATGGGTTTAAGAAGGATGAGGTTAACCATAGAATTGATAAAGGAAGAAAGGTGAGTGATGCATTGAGGTATCTGTGGAGACAACATTATCCATAGAGGCAAAGAAGGGAATGTACGAGGGTATAGTGGTAACAACGCTCTTATATGGGTTTGAAGCATGGGTTGTAAATGGTGCAGTGAGGAGGTGGCTGGAAGCAGTGGAAATGTCCTGTCTAAGGGCAATGTGTGGTGTAAATATTATGCAGAGAATTCGTAGTATGTAAATTAGGAGGAGGTGTTAAGTTACTAAAAGTATTAGTCAGAGGGCTGAACAGGGGTTGTTGAGGTGGTTTGGTCATTTAGAGAGAATGGAACAAAGTAGAATGACTTGGAGAGCGTATAAATCTGTCAAGGAAGGAAGGCGGGGTAGGTAGATATCATCCCCCAAAAAGGTTGGAGGGAGGGGGTGAAGGAGGTTTTATGGGTGAGAGGCTTGGACTTCCAGCAAGCGTGCGTGAGCATGTTAGATAAGACTGAATGGAGACGAATGGTTTTGGGACCTGACGAACTGTTGGAGTGTGAGCAGGGTAATATTTTGTGAAGAGATTCAGGAAAACCGGTTAGCTGGACTTGAGTCCTGGAAATGGGAAGTACAATGCCTGCACTCTAAAGGAGGGGTTTTGGATATTGGCAGTTTGGAGGAATATCTAAGCTGTCGTATTGGAGCGCCTCTGCAATGACAGTGATTATGTATGAATGATGGTGAAAATGTTGAATGATGATGAAAGTTTTTTTTTCTTTCTTTCTTTTTGGGTCACCCTGCCTCGGTAGGAAATGGCCAGCATGTTAAAAAAAAAAAACTATCTGAAATCTAAGTTTTTTATATGACCCCTGCTATAAGTCAGGGGGTAATCTTTTTCTCACATTATTATTTGCAACTTAATGCAGTTAAGTTAGCTATTTTTCAGTTTTGTATAAATGTAGATAAATTAGGTTTTTCAGCTTGGCTTAAAATTGGTTATGTCAATTTATTCTCTCTGGTTGAAATCAGGGGAATGACGTGCCTAATTTTCTGAAGCTGGATAATCGCATAATTTTTTATTGTCCCTATTGTTCACACATTTCTTTTTTCCATTATCTGTGCAGATGTTCCTTCTGAAAGACTGCTGGATAATGTGTTTAGTCAAATAAGCAGTTGCCAGATATTCAAAGTAATGAAGGCAGTAGCAGTGATATTGACAATTGAAGCAGAAACCAGAGTAGCAGCAGCAGGTGCAAATGCAGCATCAGGGTACTGTAAAGCATTATGGCAGTGGCAAGAGCACCACTGCCACAGTTAACCCCTTTCACTGTCGAGACCCCTGCTCATAAACTTGCTCTCAGTTTCGAAAATTAAAAAAAAAAAATTCTTATGAAATGATAGAATCTTTTTCCCAATTGTAATGATACCAAAAGTACAAAATTTGGTGGAAAACTTACTGAATTATGCTCTTGCGAAGTTAGCGGTGTCAGCAATATTTATACATCAGCAATTTCGCCCACTTTGAGCCCTGTTTTCGGCCAATTCCATTGTTCCAGTTGACCAAACTCATAGCTATTTTGCTAGAACTCCATATGTTTTATCGATTGAGTACAAGAACCCACCCATTTACCAATTTTAACTTACCCAGTAAAGTGATCAGAAATTGGTAATTTGGCCAATTTCATACACAATTCAGATAAGCCCAATTTCAAAATAGGGTCCAGAATTAACAATACAAACATTCCTAGCACTAAAATAACATTTTCTCTGTTCATTAGTCATGTCTCCAGGCCCCTCTTATATTGCACTTGCTTTCCATTTTGAATTTTTATTCACACAAAAAATATAATACTGTTATGCAGACTACTGCATTATTGTAAAATTGGTATAAATAATATCAGTGCAGGTAGTAGGTTGGTAGACAGCAACCACCCAGGGAAGTACTATCGTCCTGCCAAGTGAGTGTAAAATGAAAGCCTGTAATTGTTTTACATGATGGTAGGATTACTGGTGTCTTGTTTCTGTCTCATAAACATGCAAGATTTCGGGTACGTCTTGCTACTTTTACTTACACTTAGGTCACACTACACATGCATGTACAAGCATATATATACACACACCCCTCTGGGTTTTCTTCTATTTTCTTACTAGTTCTTGTTCTTGTTTGTTTCCTCTTATCTCCTTGGGGAAGTGGAACAGAATTCTTCCTCCTTAAGCAGTGTGCATCATAAGAGGCAACTAAAATGCCAGGAGCAAGGGGCTAGTAATCCCTTCTCCCTTCTCCTGTATATAATACTAAAGTTAAAAAGAGAAGCTTTTGTTTTTCTTTTTGGGTCACCCCTGCCTCGGTGGGATATGTCCAGTTTGTTGAAAGAAAAGAAGAAGAAACACGCTGGATAACAGGTATATCTTGCTACTTCTACTTACGCTTAGGTCATGCTACACAGGCATGTACATGCATATATATACTTGCACACATCAAGTTTTTTTCTTCTTTTTCTTAATAGCTCTTGTTCTTTATTTTCTCTATTGTCCATGGGGAAGTGGAAAAGAATCTTTCCTCCATAAGCCATGCATGTCGTATGAGGCAACTAAAATGCTGGGAGCGATGGGCTAGTAACCCCATTTACGTATACATTTACAAAAAAAGACAAGAAGAAAAACTTAATGAAACTGGGATGCTTGAATATGTGTGGATGTAGTGTGGATGATAAGAAAGAGATGATTGTTAATGTTATGAAAGAAAAGAAATTGGATGTCCTGGCCCTAAGCAAAACAAAGCTGAAGGGAGTAGGCGAGTTTCAGTGGGGAGAAATAAATGGAGGTTGTAAGAGAAGTGAATGCAAGGGTCTTGGCAAGAGGTGTGGGGTTAAAAGATATAGAATCTAACACAAAGTGGGAGTTGTCACAGTTGCTCTATGCTGATGACACGGTGCTTTTGGGTGATTCTGAAGAGAAGTTACAGAGGTTGGTGGATGAATTTGGTAGGGTATATAAAAGAAAAAAATTAAAAGTGAATATAGAAAAGAGTAAGGTGATAAGGATAAAAAGATTAGGTGATGAAAGATTGGATATCAGATTGGAGGGAGAGAGTATGGAGGAGTTGAATGTATTCAGATATTTAGGAGTGGAGGTGTCAGCAGATGTGTCTATGAAGGATGAGGTGAATCATAGAATTGATGAGGGGAAAAGGGTGAGTGATGCATTTAGGAGTCTGTGGAGACAAAGAACTTTGTCTGTGGAAGCAAAGAGGGGAATGTACGAGAGTATAGTTATACCAACACTCTTATGTGGGTATGAAGCATGGGTGGTGAATGTCGCAACGAGGAGAAGGCTAGAGGCAGTGGAGATGTCATGTCTGAGGGCAATGTGTGGTGTGAACATAATGCAGAGAATTCGTAGTTTGGAAATTAGGAGGTGGTGCCAGATTACCAAAACTATTATCCAGAGGGCTGAGGAGGGGTTGCTGAGGTGGTTCGGACATGTAGAGAAAATTAAACGAAACAGAATGACTTAGAGAGTGTATAAATCTGTAGTGGAGGGAAGGAGGGGTAGGGGTCGGTCAAGGGAAGGTTGGAGAGAGGGGGTAAAGGAGGTTTTGTGTGTGAGGGACTTGGAGTTACCACAAGCATGCGTGAACGTATTTGATAGGATTGAATGGAGACAAATGGTTTTTAATAATTGACGTGCTGTTGGAGTATGAGCAAAGTAACATTCTTGAAGGGACTCAGGGAAACCGGCAGGCTGGACTTGAGTCCTGGAGATGGGAAGTACAGTGTTTGCACTCTGAAGGAGGGGTGTTATTGTTGCAGTTTTATAACTGTAGTGTAAAGCACCCCTCTGGCAAGACAGTGATGGAGTGAATGATGACGGTTTTTCTTTTTCGGGCCACCCTGCCTTGGTGGGAATCAGCCGATGTGTTAATGAATAAATAAATTGTGGAAGCATATTAGACCCACCAGTTGATGTGTATTAGTCATGTGACATCATTTGTTTACTCTTCAACATTGGCAAAAATCAAACATTTCCACTACTTTGAGCTCAATTTCAAGGTACATTTAGTCGATAAACCATTCAAAATCTTCCATTCTGTCAAATGAGACCAAGAAAACGAAAATACAATCATAAATACCACATGAAAATACACTGCAAAGTCGGTGCTTTTAACCAAAAACATGGTCTGAGTTTTTTTTTTTCATTATGCACTGCGTGCCACAGGATTTTTTTTTATATTGCACACACTGACCACTCAAGACCCATTCTCTCATATGTAGGCCTACCAGCTTACTTTTGCAAGATTGGAAGCCACTAGAATTTTGGCGTAATATTACGGCACCATCACTGGTTTGCAAGCCATAATATTTCAACACTGACAGTGGAAGGGTTAATATACAATCAACCAACAACATTGAAATAGAATTTAATGTAAAAACATTCATACAGACTTTAATCCTAAGACAGTTGGGTAGGTAAACTTCCATAGACATCACTCTTGGTGGTGCCTACATCAGCCAGAAACTTATCCAAAGATAATGGGGTAGGCAAAATGCTATGATCATGCCAGGCTCCTGTGGGTGGTGTCATCAGCCAGGTGGTGCACCATTTATACTTGTCTCCCATGGATCCATTCTGCACAAACTGCCTACATAGATCATTGATACAGCTTTGAGCTACCAGGTTGACCAGGCATTCAGGCTCTTAAACCTTTCAGGGTTTCTGACGTACTAGTACAACTTATGCACCAGGGTTATTGACATACTAGTACGCATAAATTCTAGCGCCTTCAAATCTAGCGAGAGAAAGCTGGTAGGCCTACATATGAAAGAATGGGTCTATGTGGTCAGTGTGCACAGTACAAAAAAAATCCTGCAGCACACAGTGCGTAATGTGGAAAAAAAAAAACTTTGACCGTGTTTTTGGTTTAAAACAGTGACTTTGCACTGTATTTTCATATGGTATTTATGGTTGTATTCTAGTTTTCCTGGTCTCATTTTATAGAATGGAAGACATATTACAGAAATTGAGCTCAAAGTAGCAGAAATGTTCGATTTTTGCCAAAGTTCAAACGTAAACAAATCATACCACCCATCCAATACACGTCAAATGGTGAATCTAATATTTTTTCATAAGTGCACTGATATTATTTATACCATTTCCACACTAAAGCAGTAGTCTGCATAACAGTAAGTCTTCTGTTTTTTGTGAGAATAAAAATTCAATGTTGAAAGCAAAAGAAATGTAAGAGGGGTCTGGGGACGTGACTAATGAACAGAGGAAATGTTATTTTAGTGCCAGGAATGCCTGTCTTGTTTATTCTGGACCCTATTTGGAAATTGGCATCTTTTGAAATCTGTGGGAAATTGGCAAAATTACTAATTTCTGACCACTTTATTAGATAATTGAAATTGGTGAATGGGTGGTTTCTTGTACTCATTCAATAGAAAAAAAATGGAGTTTTGCGAAATAGTTATGATTTTTGTCGACTAGTACACGGGAATTGGCTGAAAATAGGGCTCAAAGTGGGCGAAATCGCTGATGCGTAAACATCGGCAAGACTGCTAACTTCACGAGAGCATAATTCCGTAAGTTTTCCATCAAATTTCATACTTTTGGTGTCATTATGATTGGGAAAAGATTCTCTATCTTTTCATAAGAAAAAAATAATTTTTTTTTTCCGAAAAATTTTCGACCCTGAGAACAAGTTTAGGAGAGGGCCTCTCGACCCTGAAAGGGTTAATGGCCAGTGTTGGCAAGCTGTAACAAGTCACCAGCATGGTGCCTGATAGTGATACTTTTGGCAGTTAGTTTCATATAACCCAAAAACCATCACAACCCTTCATCTCAACAACAGTAGTAACACAATTTCTTAATTTTTCTTAATCATTTTTTTAAATTACATATGATGCTTCTAACATGAGGGGCATAACTTTGAACTCCTTATTTGAGGAAAAGAAATTATTGTGTATGGTTATATACAGTATTCTCCTTTGAATAACTCTTGCTATATATTTTGTTATTGACAGCATGTGCAATATATTTTCATTGCATTATGCTACTATGATTATTCTGTGTACTCCTGTGCAAGCTTGTGCCTGTGAAAGTCCCCTTACCACATTGCTACATATGTGCATGTTATATGACTGTTCATTTACATTAAAAATTTTTTAAAGATGTTCATTTTATAGTTTATATTTTATGGAATAGGATCACAAATTAACAACATACAGTATAACCTGGAATATCTGTGCCAGAAATTAGCTGCCATTTCTCAAGTATTACAAGTTAACCAGTTGTGGAGGATGTACTTGACAACACTACTCCAACTCAAACCAAATTGGAAATTCTCATTTGATTTATATTTGCCACATGTTACAGCACTTTAATCTTCCTTAGGTGTTACTGCACTAGTTAAACTACAGATGGAAGTTCTAGCCTAACATGTAATGGGGTTTTTAAGTACAGGATGGTCCTGTTTATACAGCAGGTTAGGTTCTGGGCTGCTGCTGTAAAACAAAAATTGCTGTGGAATGAAACATACTGTTTTTTTTAAATGCATTTAAAAGCCTGATAAGATGTTTACATTATCATACATTAAGTGAGCAGTAAAGCTAGGCCTTAAAAATGCATTTACAGTACACATACGGTTTACCTTAAAATATTTTTGTCTTCAGCTTATAGTGAGTGGTGAATATATTTATTGTAAGAAGTCTGAATAAATGAAGAACAGGTATAATTAAAGGCCACTGCATTAGCAAAATGCCATAATGCTTAGTGCTTTAAAGCAGGGCCCACCTGTACGTAGTGAGTACACATGCCAGTATCACAAGAGCATCATTGTGGAGAGAGCTAAGAACCTAATGTCCTCCCTTGTATTGAACAAGGAAGATTACTGAATTTGTTTTTCCAGGTCCTAATCAATGTGAAAGCCTGGAAATCATTCAATTTTAAAACAATAAGGAATTCATAATCTTTTTTATTGTGGTTTTAAGTTATATTCAGTCAAGCTATTATGATTACATAAGGTATTTGTATCAAAACAGTTGCTATGATACTTGCCAGTAATAATTAAGAAAAGACATGAGTGCTGAATAAGGTTTTATTGCACTTTAGAGCAACAGTGCAGTAAAAGCTTGCCTTACATCTTTGTTTTTACTTCTGTTTTTAGTGTGTAAAATTCAGTGTAGCTTGGTGTTGACATAAGTACACTAAAGTAAACCCTCAATTTAACCCTTTCAGGGTCCAGAACCCTGATCTGAAACTTGTCCACAGGGTCCAAGAATTTGCAAAAAAAAAAAAAAAAAAAAAATTTTTTCTTACGAAAGGGTAGAGAATCTTTTTCTGAAGGTAATGAAACAAAAAGTACGAAATTGATGGAAAATTGATGCAGTTACGCTGTCACGAATTTTGCTGCATCAGCAATATTTATGCATCGGTGATTTTACCCACTTTGACTCCCATTTTAGGCCAATTACATTATTCGAGTCAACCAAATTCTTAGCTGTTTCGCTAGTATTACTTCTATTTTATCAGTTGAGCATGAGAAACTGCCCAGTCTTCTATTTCAACTACCCAATAAAGTGATCAGAAATTGGTTATTTGGCCAGTTTCACACAAAGTTCAAAATATTCTAATCTCAAAATATGTCCAAAATAAACAATGCAGGCATTCCTGGAACTAAAATAACATTTCCTCTGTTTATTAGTTACGTTTCCATGTTTTACAGATTAATTTCATTTTTATTTTTTATGCACATATTGAATTTTTATTCACACCAAAAAATAGATTTACTTTTATGCAATATTGTAATAACTGTATAAATAATATCAGCACATTCATGAACGTATATAAGACCCACCAGTTGATGTGTATTGGACATGTGACGTTATTTGTTTACTCTTGAAGATCAGCAAAAATCTAGCAGTTCCGCTACTTTGAGCTCAGTTTCAACCTACTTTCAGTACTAAAACCAATCAAAATTATCTCTATTTCTGTAATATATCTTCCATTCTATCAATCTATGAATCTTAACTAGTCAAAAGTTGGCCTGTGATACTCCAATACTGAAACTATGTATAGTGCCAAAACAAAAGCAATCATATTGCTAAACTCACAACTAGTATTTAGCCACTTAGCCATAATACCAACTTATCTCATAATTCTGTAACATTTTAAACCTAAGATTTCATATAAGTCTGCCCGAAATGCCTAGCCATGCTAGGCGTTCTAGTGGTACACTCTGTAATTATTATTTTACTACATGTAAACCACACAATAACCAAATTCTGTAAACTCAGCATTGTAATACTTGTAGAGAATAAAGTTTGAATTTGAATTTGAATTTGAAATGAGACCAAGAAACCAAATATACAACCATAAAAACCATACAAAAATACACCGCAAAGTAGTTGTTTTAATCCAGAAACACAGTCGCAGTTTTTTCCTCATTTTTCACTGCGTGCTGCAGGATTTGTTTTATGTGGTGCACGCTTACCACACAGATGCATTCTCTCATACCTAGGCCCAAATTTACCACTCACAGCTTATCTGGGTGAGCTGAGCTCATGACATAGTACCATGGCTTGGACCCTGGCTTCAAAGCCATAGAACTGCGAGACGGACCCTCAGGGGGTTCATGAACTAATGGGAGAGCTGGTGGCTGGTAATATCAAATGTGGTGGTGAAGATATTACTTTGCCATGATCTTATCAATAACAGACAGTTTTTTAGACAGCAGACTTTGTCCGTTGTTTCTGACTTAGTTGACCCAAAAGATTTTATCTCATATTTCTGAATCTATTAAATTGAGGATTTACTGCTTATTTTTAATGCTAATAATATTGTTAGTATTATACTGAGCAATACAACATTTATTTTGTGAATCTGTTAGATTTTGTTGGTATTGAGGTAATATTTTAACAGTAATAATGAAAAATCATTTATGTTGGTACTGTAATTATGGTTATACTGTAAAAGGTTAATGCTGTAGTACATTTTTGGAGATTTTTGTTGTGTGTATTTCTCTTTACATAATAGTTTTCTCTATAAAATATGCTTTTACATTCTCAATTTCAAAACAGTTATTTGTGTCTTGTATTGTACTAGAAGCTTAATTTTATTTTATGGGTTATGTTCATTTTATTCTCTATCACATATTTTGTCGTTACACCCTTGCACTATAAAAACCTTAAGAATTATCTGTTGAGTGTTCTGTACTCCTCCTTCCCTCACATCCCCTAAGCAAGGAAGCCCTGGCCGCATGTGCTTGTCCTCTTTCATTTTGATCATTAATGTTAGCCACACACACACAGGCTCAGGCGGGTATAATGCCCTTACAGCCGCACCAACTGCGTCCTCAGTACGGGCCATAACGGACAAGGAATATGATGACAGCGAACCAGAAAAGAAACCAAAGAGTATGCTGGTAATATCTGGTGGAGAAGGATACATCGACTTCAGAATTGGTCAGTTTTAACTTGTGGAATTCTTTTTTAATGTTTTAAGAATTTGATCTGGTTCTTTTCTGTATATATTGTACCAGTTATTGTTTTTGCTACATGGGTATGTATATAGGGTAATTAAGTAATATACCTTGCTTGTAGTATAGTACTTGATTGCTTTGTTTCAACGGATCATTTGAGAGTACTATATTAATATTCTATTCCATCTACATTATAGTTTAGAATGTGAAGCTTTTCCTTATACATTTTTGTAGGCTTTGAAAAGTTAACAGCATTCATTCATTATCTGCCTGGGATTATGCGGTGTGCTTGTTTTAACATTTATGCCTCACAGCTGATGAGCGTGAGGAGGATCGAGATACAGCTAGTCACCTTCTGGTGTGGCACATACCTGTGGAGGATAATCTTTCTCATCTCCATGTCCAACCCAATTCCTCCACCACAACCACTTCCTCCACCTCCACCACCTCTACCACCACCACCACCACCTCCATTGCCACAACCACCACCACCAACCCCATCTCGACAGCCATCAACGGCCATTCGTAGCAGCCTTCCCTTCACCATCTGGACAGCTACAACCTCTCAGCCAGCTACGGGTACGCGCCTCTCTCACCTCAGAGTCACAGCACCACGGTCTCTACTACTCTTCCTAGTTACCAAGGATTTGACCCCCAACTTGTTCAATTGATTGCTGATTTATTATTGTACAAATTTAAATGGTATAATATCCATTATTGTTTATCACAGATTAGAAGCAGGAATATACTGTCAGTGAAGAATTGAGTGTATGTAATATTCAGAATTTATCTGAAATTTTACATAAATGTATCCTTACAGGTAACATTTAATTACTTGTTTATTTTTTACTTTCCTTGTTTTTTTAAAGTACTTAGTTTAAGAATGAGCACCATCTGCTTATCCCTTTCACCTGCTCTTAAATTTTTCTGTTTTATTTTTAACTAAAAAAGAAATTAATTAAGAAATAACCAGATAAACTTTCGGTAAGTCAGTGAAACCAAAGAATATTTGCATACTAGTTTCTTGTACATTTTATACAAAGTTCTATCTGGTGTGGGTCAAATCTTGGGTTCCCTGCATGCAGCTTATCCAAGATCACTTAGGTTACTGCACTGCATGCTGGCCCTTTAGAACCATGGGTCAGACTGGGTCAAATCCTATGTTCTCTCTCTCTTCCTCTACCTCCCTTTCTTCTACCTCCTTCCTCTTATCTTCCACCTTAAAATATTCTAGCACTAATATAGAACTACCTAACAAGCTGCTGTAATAATGTAAATTAATTAGCACTTTTTGTAGATGGAGGTTGAAAATATCCTCCTATTTTTCTTAATCAAAAAGCTTTAAAAAAAAAATTTTATTTGGGATATACAGTGTATCTGTTATCGTTAACTTTTTTACTTTAATTAGCATAGAATTAGAACAATGTCTTAATGGAGAAAAACCTATGGTCCATTTCTGTACTACAGCTTTGTGTGTTGTCTTGGATGTTATGCCCCACTTCATTCTATCCTGTTAAACCAAACAAGTAAATACTTTCCTTATAAAACTGTATTTTTTTTTTTTTTTTTTTTTTTTTTGTCATGACATTATTGAGGTGGACCAATATTGTAATTTGATATTATAAATTATTTATATGTTCATCATACACCCCCTTCTGCCTATGAGATTGTGCTGTGACTTTGTCGTGAAGAGGCAAATACCTGTGCTTTCTGTGGTGGCGGTAATCATATAGTCCATCTGGTGAAACTAGTTATGTTTCCTTCTTATATAGTAGGATCGATATTTGTTTGTACGGTGATGGGCAGTTGCTTATTACTTTTAAATCAGTGAGGGATCAATAATTTGCCAGAGTTATGTTATACTAACATGTTATATTTCATATATTTTTCATTCACAGAAAAAATTATATTTGTTCATCAAAGGTCCCCATCTGCTTACAAATTTATGTCTGTCATATTATATTAATTATACAGTATTCAAAATTTCTTGGCGAAGCTTTTTAGAGGCTGTGTATGAAGAGCCTATGAGCATCACTGAGTGGAAGCTGTACCAACTGGTACTCAGCATCTGCTTACTACTTAGTCTTGGCTGTTTTGTTGTTTTTGCACAAGTTACTTCATCCAGTTTCTCCCTTTTTTCAGCTTCATAGAATTTTTCTTGTTAGTAGTCATTTTATAATTAAGGCATTGCTCTGAATTCTGTAATGGTTGCAGTATGAGAAAAATATTCCATGGAGAGGAAAATATTGAGCTTCAAAGGATCACTAATATCAAGCAGATTGCTTATTAGACTCTTGAGCATGTTTAGAGAAACTACTTCCTTGCACTTATTTTACACATTAGAAGTAAGTGCCATGGCTGCAAGACTCAAGTTTCAGCATCTTTTATATTTTCTAAACGTGCATTAAGGATAGTAGATAAATAATAATGGGTAGTACTTCACTGATAGTCTTGTGCTTGGCACCTTCTTTTTACTCCTAGATTATGAATACCAGTACATTGATTATAAAATTATTATAGAGTATTTTTAGTTGATAAATTGCATCCCAAGTTTGTTATAGTTTTGTTCAGCAATGTACATAGTGTATTTATTTATTAGATTTTACATTTTATTTTCAGATGGGTTATGATAATTTCATAAATAAAAAATGTGGTGTTTTATCCATACTGTAGACTTTAACCTGTCATTTATGTAAACACTACTTAAAAGACAAATGGTTCATGTGTTCAGTTGGTGCTCTTTTCCTTCTTTATTCAGTAGTATCATTATAGTTTGCTACACTTTTTTAACTCTTTTAGTAATAAGAGCATCAGATGATCTCAGAAGATGCTAGGGATGTGTATCAGGGTTTCCCCGCCACATTTCCTTTTAGAGGTCATGACTTGGCATCAGTAAAATTGTCAAACCTTCATCATAAGTATTGCACCATTCTTCATTGTGTTTTTTTGGGTGTGGAAGAGGGAACATTGTCATGTTCTCAAATTTGAAAAGAGAAAGCATGCATATGCTTTTTGAAAGTTTTGAAAATTGGTGAACTGTAAGGTAATGTTTCCAATTTATATAAAAAACTTGCCACAAGTAGTTAAAAACTGGATGAACATGTTAGTAGATGATGCAAAAAATCCTGTGCAAAGTAATAAAAATGAATTCTGTATAAGTCCTTAATAAACTGATATAGGTAAGTGCCACATAATGGAAACAGTTGAGTGATGAAATGCCAAATAAAAATTTTATTGTGATAAAATATTGAAAATAATCATCAGAGTGATATAGGAATTATGAAAAACATAAGATATCCTGGAAGATAACCAATAAGATCATGACAGACTAATTTAGGATAGTTGAAGGACTTTAAATAGCTTGGTGGCCCAGTGGCCTGGTGGCTAAAGCTCCTGCTTCACACGCGGAGGGCCCGGGTTCAATTCCCGGCGGGTGGAAACATTTCGACACGTTTCCTTACACCTGTTGTCCTGTTCACCTAGCAGCAAATAGGTACCTGGGTGTTAGTCGACTGGTGTGGGTCGCATCCTGGGGGACAAGATTAAGGACCCCAATGGAAATAAGTTAGACAGTCCTCGATGACGCACTGACTTTCTTGGGTTATCCTGGGTGGCTAACCCTCCGGGGTTAAAAATCCGAACGAAATCTTATCTTATCTCTTATCTTTCTGATAAATAGATGAGACATTACAAAAGCTTTCACAACATATATTAGGCCAAAATTGGACTGTGCAGTGGTGATATGGTGTCCCCACACTAAAAACAAATGGATAAGACAAAAAGTCCAAAGACAAACTACATGGTTCCCAGAGCTAAAAAAAAAAATTGCAGTGGTAATGAAAAGGCTAGAAACTATAAAAAAGCCTACAGTGTCAGATAGGAGAGGAGGAAACATAATCACATGTATAAGGTCATAAAGAAGTCACAGTTGTGAACTGAATTAAAGTGGTAGTGAAAGGACACTAAAAAGCTTATTTTTCCTGACAGTAGTAGAAGAATGGAATGGGATTCAAAAGGAGGTAGTAAGTGTTGCTACAATCACTGAAGATTTTTAAAAAATTGTGATAAATTGATGTGAAGATGAGATACCACAAGCATAGCTCTGCTACTATAGCTATAAATAGGTAATCACACAGTATATCACCATGATTGCATACTAAATATAGCAAGCTTTCTTTTGCTAATTTGGTTCCTAGTGTTTCTAATTCCCATCCATCTTGAATTTGTTTCTGGACAACTCTGTTCAAACAGTGCCCATTGATCTACCTGAGGCCCTAGTCACAGTGATGACTCACTTGTTGAAGTGACTTTTTTTTTTTAATGTCTTTGAAGCCCTAGTCAGCTGTTGTTACTTCATGTTGCTTCTTGAGCATCCACTTTGCTGATCAAGGTTTTATTTATAAGCTAGGTGCTTATGACTTTTTATTGCATTTTTCCATTGATTTTGGACTCTTAAGTACTTCATTGAAAAGGCTTCCAGGAATGATAAATCAACATGTGTAGTTCATTAGTTCAAAAAATGGATGAAAAAGTAAGTATAACTCTCCAAATGTTGGTGTGTACAATGTTGGTAAAATCTGTATATGATTTTTAGACTCAGGAGGAAGACAAATTTGTTAGGTATTTCTCAGGCATCAGTTGTGTGGAAGCTGTTGCTGAAAGCAAGATACATGGGCCTGTATACCAAGATGATATTTAATATAATTTGTTTCACCACTGGCAGAGTAAAGGCATTCTTCTTTCAGGAAGAATATTGATAGACCAGGCAAAGTATTTTCACTAACAAAGCTTGAAAGAAAAAAATTACTACCCAGAGTATTCCACAGATAACAACTCATAGCAAGAAAGCCTCTGCACACTGTGTTGGTCCAACTAAACATTTTAAAGTTTGGCTAGTGCTCATCCATGAACACTCAAGAATATAATTTCTTCAGTGCATTACAAAGCATGGATTACACAGGGTCCTATTGAATTATTTAACAG